GGGCCGCGTGGCGTGCGGAGGAGCAGCGGGAGCTGAGAGCTGGGGCCGTGCTCGCATGATCCCAGTTCAGGACGTGCCTCTTGCAAAGGGCTGGGGATGCGCAAACGGCCACTTTGCAGGGTGAAAGTGGCAAAGCAGTGAAAGTGACAGGTAAGACTTGGCCTCTTGCCTGGAAAAGTGCCTATTTGACACAGTCACTGTTTGGAGCCAGAGATCTCTTTCTTTTTTTTTTTTCTCTCTCTCTCTTTTTTTTTTTTTTTTTTTGAGAATGATTAAATTAATTGATTTCTTTCCCTTCCACCTTTTTCTGTAGCTCTTAAAGTCATATAGTGTTTCCATCAGCTTGCGATGAGCAAATGGCCCACTGTGGCTGAGGAGGATGTTAGCGGCTCTTTATACTTTTATTACCCCTCTTGCTCCTGAATCAAAATTCCTCCAGAGCAGGGAGCAGGCAAGTACTCCGGGAAGCAGAACTAGCGCGCCGGGAACCATAGCACTGCCATAAAAGCTGTTTTCTCCCACTGATTTATTTGTTGCTCTGCCTAAACGAGGGGCTTGGGCTCAGTGTGCCTTGGGCAGAGCTGGGTGAGGTTCTTGCCCGGGCTCAGCCTGTGCCTCTGTGCTGCAGATCACTCTCTGCCACTGTCCCCATGGAGGCAAATCCTTTTGGAGGAGGGGAGGATTTAGTTCCCCCTGCAAACAGGGTGGCAAAATGCCTGGGAGGCTTTGGCCAATAGTTTTGGCTGAAACAGAAATGGTAATCGCTTGGAAGTGCTAAATTAGTGAGTTCTGCTGTTTATGAAACATAATATTTTGGGCTGCTTGTAAACAAGACTGGGAGCTTGGGTGCTACATGAGCAGCAGGAGGAAGAGGAATGGTGTTTTGTGGTCTCCTCCGGGGCAGGTGAACTCCTGGAGATGGGATGTCTGAAACTAGGGGCTGGCTCTGGGGCTGCGGTGACTCTTTTTCCTCCACTGCTTAAGCTTGAGCCCTGTAGTCCTTTCTGGTCCTCAAAGCAGCTGATGCTCCATGGGGTTTACACCAAAATGTGTCCTGGAGAGGTGAGCACGGTGGGTGATTTGTGTGTGTATTTTTTTTAATTTTTATTTTTTTCTCCCCTCCCCTGTACCCCCCCTTTCTCCACTGGGAAACACCAAGTGGCAGAAATGCAGTTTTAATGCAGTTTTTAAATGGCTTTATTTGAGCTGCTATAAGGGAAACAGTTTTGCAGAGCTCTGGCTCCTAGCAGGTCTCCATGTCTTTCACAGGGTGGTCTCCACATCCTCAGTGTTGGGGAGCAGCTGCCCTCAAGCCACCCCTGCCCTGGAGCCTGGGTGTTTTAGGGGGGGATCTTAAATCTGTGTTAATCTCTCTTCAAAAGAGCCTCCCCTGCAGCGAGAAGTGTTTGGAGGCTGCAGAGTAACTTAATGCAATTTAAAATAGCACTGACTGACAATAGAGGAGCAACTAAAAATACCCTGCTAGGATGTTGTTTTTAAGTGACAGGGAGGAGAGGGGGGAAAAAAGGGAGTAAAAAATAGATCCCAGCACCATAGCCCTGAAGTGCAGCCCCTGCGGGGTTGGGATTTTCTCCTCCTCCCCACCTCACCTCATGGGGCTCTGGGGAGGGGATAAGTGGCTGCTATTTCCTCTCCCCAAATGCAGAGCGGTGGCTCTGGACTGGCGTGACCATCCTGGTCCCCACAGCATTGGTGTCCCCTTGCCAGATCTCCTGGAGCAGGGGTTACCCTCCGTGGTCTCCTGGGCAGCAACACAATATTCCCACCTATAAATATAAATGTCTGTTTGCATTGCTCAGCTTCCTGCCTCCTCTTATTTATATGGAAATAGAGAGTGGACACATTTAGTGGGGAGACAGAGAGCTGCTGTCTAACACTGCTGAGCTCCCGTTCAGCTGCTGTGGGGACACTGGGGAGGACCGAGGGGTCCCCCGGTTGGGTATGGAGCCACTGTCCACCCAGCTGGCCCTTGAGCTGCTTGGAGTGGACAGCGAGGACCCTTTGTGGCGATGGGGACGTTGCTGTCCCAGCCCTGGGCTTGCTTGTTGCCACTTGTACGGGCTTTCTGGACTGTGATTTTGATGGATTATGTGTCAGGGTTAGCCTTTGGCTAGTTGCCTCTTCGGTCGCTTAATCCACTCAGATCAAAATCGATAGGGAAAGTAAATAGAGGTGCACAAGGGAAAGGGAGCCAGGGCGCTTGGTGTCAGTCCTTGCGTGGCTGCAACCAGCCCATTTACCCCAAGCTGCTTCTCAGAGCCGTGGCCCTTTTGTGGGTTTGGGTGGCTCGGGGCCATCCTTTAAAGGAGGGAGAGAAAGCAGAGCCAGCGATGCTTTATATGGGAATTAATTCCATTGGTGTGTGCAACAGACATAAGAAATATTCCGGCATCTTTGAGATTTCTGTGTTGTGCTGGAGTGTTTGGCTGCTGCCAAAGCAACTTGCATGAGGCGACGTTGCCTGCACCGCTGCTTTTTTGGCTGTTTTGGGTTGTGCCCTGTGCTCCCTCTCAGCCTAAGGTGCCACAAAACTCACCGGCGTGTCCTTCCTGTCTCCCGTTTCCAGAGGTTTTGGTGTCAAATCAACGCACGATGTGGGATGTTTGCCCAGAAATGTAGCCTCTCAAACCAGGCATCGTAAAGACAAGTGTATCGTTAGTGAATTCCCTAGGGTTTTCACCCATCCAAATTTGACCGGATCAGCTGTCGACTGTTCCCCTGCTTCTGTAGAGAAACTATTTCTTCTTCCAACAGACATCACCCTTAGGGGATGTGTGGTTTTTTTCCTGATTTCATCCAATTACTTAGCTGCACGCCCGTCTGAAGCACCATAAATAATTCCCCTCCCTGTGCCGTGTTTACCAGTGTGTCTCAGGAAATGCAGCACGGGGTGATTGATTGCAATCATTATTTCATCGTGCTGCTATGAAAACCTCTGTCAGGTTCAGTGATTGCCTTGAAAGAGCGCCTGCCACTCCGCAGAACTGTCAGAAACCTGTCATACTTTAGCAAACTCCAATTAATCAGCTGCACAGTTTTACTTGTGTCGTCTTTCCCATCATTGCTGATTATCAAGGGTAATTAGACTATTTCTCCTATGTAAATTAGCAGTTCTCGCTGCTTTTTTTTAAGGAAATAGTGACTTACATGACTCTTATACTAAGTTTTCAAGCTCCTGCATCAGGTTTTGGTTGATCCTGTCTGTTTTCAGTGCTGCTTTCCATACTATTGAGGATTGCTTGAGAGGAAGAGGAGGCAAAGTGTCTCGTCAACAATGGGGCTGGTCGTGGTGGCAAATGTTGCAGGGTGCTGCCAAACACCACTGTCCAGCATCGAAAAGTGATGAGATTTTTCTTTTTCCTATTTTCTGTTTTCCTTCTTTTCTTGTGACTTACCTTAGTGGTTGCTGGCTCCCGCCTGCCTGTCAGGCTGCTGAGCAGCAGTTCACCGAGTACCTGGGACTCTGCTTCAGGTTTACAAATTAATCCCGGCTCTTGCATTTCTTGCATTTTTTTTTTAAGCATTGCTTCAGCACTTTTCCCTCCCTGCTCCTGGTTTTAATGAGGCACGCTTTCCAAGAGATGTAATAATCACTGCCAAAAATGTCAAATCGCTCTTGTTATCCTCCGTGAGCCTCTGCAACAGCAACAACAACAGGAGAGGATAAAAAAACAACCTCTCCAGCGGCAAGAAAACTAGGTGTTGATGAGGCTTCAAAATTCATCTTTAAGGGCTTTGGTGGAGGACGGGGTGAGGATGAGGGGGAGATGTGTCCCCTGTCAGCCCTGCTTTCGGGGAGGGGAAGTCCCAGAATCCCAGAATGGTTGAGGTTGGAAGGAACCTCTAGAGATCATCTAGTCCAGCCCCTGTGCTCAAGTCTTCTTGCCAAGGTGATCAGTGTGACCACAGCACATCAGGTGACGGTTGTTGGATACTGAACGCTTGGACATGACATTGACCATCCCTAAGCTCTGGCACTCTTGGAGGTGCCATCAGGGAGTTCTGGAGTGAAAACCTACACATTAATACCCCTGTGGATTTTCTGTCTTCAGCCCATCTCTCAGCTACTTCATTTTTTTTTCTGTTTTGTCTTTCCTGAGCTTGCCCAGATGAATTTGGGGATGTTCCCGGCCAAATTCAGCTCCAGCTCCTGACTTTCCACTCTTTTTCCTCCAGAGCATCAACTAAGGGCAAACTCGGTGTATTTTGTCCATTTAAGCTATTATGAACATGAAATGAGCCACACTGCAATGAAATGGGCACTTCAGCCTGCCTGTCCCTAGACAAAAGGTGCCCCCAGGAGCGTGATGTCCCAGCATGGGCACTTGGTGACTTCACTACTTTGAGCTTTGACTTGAGCGGGTTGGTGCTCTGCAAGTCCTTGGGAAGCAATGGGCTAAATGGTGATGGGAAGCAGGAGCACTTCTCAGCTGTGGGATTTTCTTGATTTTACTGTGGGGTAGTGTTGGTGTTTCGAGAACCGAGCTATTCCTAGAGCTGGGGCACGTACCCTGCGGGCTGCTGTGGGCAGAGGAGGAATTCTGCTCTGCAACAGGAAGATCCCGCGCCGCTGAGAGGATGTGCTGGGGCAGGACCACATATTTGTGCCGTTTCTCATGCTTTTCCTTAAGCATCCCCTAAAGACTGCTGGCTGCAAAGACAGGATGCTGGACTAGGTGGCTCTTTGTATAAAAATAAATAATAATAGGAAGGTGCTTAATGAAAAGCTGTTTGCTTAGTGTTGAAGAATAAAGGTTGGCTTCCCCCTAAGCTCTTGGGTCAAGCAGGCTGGATTGGGGGATGTATTGAGGTTTTATGCCTGGAGAAGCAGATTTGGCTCTGAGGCTGAAGCTGGGATGGCTGCTGTTTAGCAGGGAGACTGTAGCAAGGATCAGGGTGCTGGGCTTTGGTTGGAGCCTCGGAGGGGGATTTGTCAATGTTCCCTCACCCGTGACTGTCTCACTTGCTCTTTGCTGCAGTGATGGGTGCACTGGAGTCCCGTGGGGTGCTGCGGAAAATGAGCGACATGCTGGAGCTGCTGATGAAGAGGATGGACATCCTGGCCAGACTGGAGAACAGCAGTGACTTGCACAAAGGGGACGACGGGCACTTCCCTCTGGACAGGTCAGTGGGACGCCCGGGTTCCCTGGGCCTGGCAGAGCGTGTCCATCACCAACCTCTGCTGTGGCTGCCAGTTGTGCAGTGGGGAAGAGCATCTTTATCAGTGGTAAAGCCAGAGGTGGGAGTTGCTGGGGTTTTGCTCCCTCCTGTGTCATTACATCCCTATGACATGGAGGAATTGTATGGGTATTTGTGTCTGTGCTTGGACCCATTGCTGCTGAACGCTGCTGCGGGTTCCTTTTGAGCTAAGCCATGGTTAAGGTGGCCAGGAATAATTGCGTGGTGGCTTTGAAGGAGAGCTAGCAGAGTGTGTGTGTGTGTGTGTGTGTGTGTGTGTGGTAGCTCAAAGAAAAGAAAATAAATCTTTGCCCAAGATCTTGGAGCAGGTTGTAAGAGGAGTCAAATATGAGTCTCGTGCATTGCTGCCAGACACTGAGCTCCTCTCTCCCCACCTTGCTCTCCTTTCTTCCACATCTTCCTCCAAAATGCAGAGATCAGGCAAAGCAGCCTTTGAAGTG